TCCCACACCGCTCCCTGGGGTGGCTCAAGGAACGGGTTTTCACTGCCCGCCTCATGCTCTGGCCAGGGCACAGTGCCCCAAGACATAGTGAGCAATGGGAGAGTTCCCCCGGGCTTTGCACCCCACCCAGTTCCCCCAAGATCCCAGTTCACGTCCCAGCAGATGTGGGACTCACCTGGTAAGCCACAGTTCCTGAACATGATGTCATCGAGTGCCACCTGTGCCCCGCAGGTGGGTGGTTGTGTCAGGGAGAAGATGAGCTGTGGTGGGAGGATGGGGATGGCATCAGCTGGGTCTCAGAACATCACCCAGCTCCTCTGGTCCCAGCCTGGGTACCAACACTGTCTGACCTGGAACCGCTCCGTGATCCGGCCGGGGTAGGCAACCAGCTGGTGCCAGCCCTCACTGCAGTGCCTGGGGCTCTGCCACAGCCCCACCACCTCGTCCTTGTGTGCCACAGCCAGGCGCAGCACCGGCTGCTCTGTCTGGTTCTGCCCTGAGGGAAGCCCCGAAAATGCCCTTGGTATGGGGCATCCTGGGGTGTCCAAAGGAACAAACGGAGCCTCACCAGCTCTGGGGGCCAGAGCTGGGACCCCCAGGTCCCACCAGCTCTGTGTGTGGAGCGTGGAAGAGACAAACAGGATGGAAAGGACTCATCTCAAGGTACTGGTGGCTCGGTCCCTGCCACAGGGGCAGATGGCCCCATCCCTCCCCGCTGCCCCCCATCCTCACTGCCCGGTAGCTGATGCTGCCTGTGCCCACCTTGGGTGTGCTCACAGCTCCCTGAGAGGTGATACCAGGCTCTGATCTCACATGTGGCAGCTGCTTCCCGCATCTCTGGTGACCTGAGCCAGGCTGTGGCCGTGGTCTTTGTTGGGGGGGACATGGTCATCAAGAACCAACCTGGGGAGGGCAGAAAGCAGAGTGGGGGCTGCAGCCCCATGGGGTGGCACCAGAGCTGTGCCAGCACTACTCCTGCCCCTCCATGTGTCTGCTCTGTCCCCTGCACCTACAAGGATGGAGGATTTGCTCCCCCAAGTCCAGGGCACCCATAGCCCAGTGGAGTGGTGCTGTGGGTGCCCAGAGGCTGCTCACCAAGCAGCTCCCACTTACCCAGGTCAGTGCCCATGGTGTGGTCTGAATGAGGCCCCACACCCCACATGGCCAGGCTGGCCCGGCCTCGCACCCATCCATACGTCGAGGTGCTCACGTCCTGCCAGCCACAGTCACTGTCCTCAAAGTCACAGGTGAAGGGGGTGCCCAGCACTGCTGAGCCCCGTAAGTACCCTGAGGGTAGGCAGATGGGGGGGGTCAAGGCAGGTTTGAGGCCACCCTGGGGACCTGTGCCCACCCCAGGGAACTGCACCCACCCTGGGGGGCTGCACCCACCTGACAGACTCACCTGCACCCAGGCGACTGGTGTTCACCCTGGACACCTGCACAAAGGACCTGCCCCTAACCCCTAGATCTGCACCCACCTTAGTGCCCATCTTGAGGGACCCTGCACCCGTCCTGGGCACCCACAACACTCCCCACTACACAGCCTGCTCTCACCCCAGGAGCAGGGACTGAGGGTGGGACTGGGGGCCTGGGGGGTCTGGGCACCCACCACACTGGTTCTCATCCGAGCAGTCACTGCAGTCACAGACAAAGTTGCAGAGCTGCTCAGCCACGCTGTTGCAGCTGTTGAGGACAACGGACCCACTGGGGAGGACGGCTCTGGCTATGGGAGAGACAACAGGGCTGAACACGCTGCAAGGAACCAGGCAGGGTGCACAGCAGGTGACGGAGGGCACGCGTGACCTGCATGTGACATTTGCCTGGGGATCTCGGTCTGGGACCCTGCCGGGGCAGGAACTGAGCTCCCAGTAGCATCTTTCCCTGGACAACCCCCCCGACTCTGTCACGGCACCCTACATCCCTCCCGCTGCCACCTCCCACCGTCAGCCTCGGGGTGCCAGAGCCTGCCGGGGCACTGACTCTGCTATATCGCACCCGTGCTTCGAGTCCCAGCCCCCTTTTGGGAAGAAACAGAAAAATCTGGGCATTTTCTGGGCCACGCTGAACAAAAGCCATTGGTGATCCCCAGCCCGGTGCTGGGGGCTCCAGCACCAGCTCGCCCTGAGAACCCCGGGCTGACTTCACCAGCAGAACCCAGTGGGCTGCACCTGCCCCGGCCCCCAGTGCTGGGGCAAACTGCTGGGGAGCAGCAGAGCACAGCAGCCAGCACGGGGGCCCCTTCCCCTTCCCCTCCAGAGACACAACTCCCCCGTCCCTGTCGGCAGAGCTCACCCAGCAGCACCAGGAGGGCCAGCATCGCCTGCCTGCCTGCAGCCATCCCGGCCACCGCGACGGTAAAACGGAGCTGCGAGAGGCCACACCGTCAGCCCCGGGCTGGAATGTGCTCCCCAGGACCTGCCTGCCTTGGACTTCAGCCCCGCTGTTATCGCTTTCCTGGCCGGGCAGCGGGTTTATGGCGAGGCTGGGACAGCGCAGTGCAACCCTGTCAGCAGCACCACCGGCACCACAACAGGGGCTGGAGCCAGGTGCCCCAGGGAGACCTTTGACTTTTCCCCGCTGAACAGCTCTTCTTCAGCTCGCTTTCCACCCAGAAGAAGACGCTGGCTGCAACTCTGACTGGGACGGGGCACAGCCCACTGGAACGTGCCGGCTTGGTGAGGGATGAGGACACTTTCTGCTGAGCCAGGGATGCTGCCAGCCCTGTGGGGAGAGCTGGCACCTCTGGCAGGGACTTCAGGGCTCTGCCAGTCCCTGTGCATGAAGAGAGTGGGGGAGACTTTGGGTGCAGGTTTGGCAGTGGGCTGCACTCTGGCCAGAGAGAACAGCTGAGCTGGGAGTCACAAATATCTCCAGCATTCCATCTTACCCTGCCCCCTGGCAGTGGGAAGCTATTCCCTTTTGTCTTGCCCTAAGCTCTTGTCCAACATCCCTCTCTAGCTCTCCCGGAGCCCCTTTAGGCACTGGAAGGGGCTCTAAGGTCTCCCTGGAGCCTGGGGATCCTAAGATGCCATCGGGAGGAACCAGTCCTCACCCTGCCTGCTCTGCTCCAGCTGGCAGGAGCATCTCAGCACCCAGATCAGGACTTCCAATGGGCGAAGGGACACAGCTCCAGGGCCACAACCAGGTCATTCCTGGGCAGAACATTCCCAGCAGCACCCCAGAAAGGGCTGATGAGACTGAAAGTACAGCTTGTCAGCTAGAGCCCCACAGATCACTATCAGTGTTGCTTGGCGATGGCAACCACTAACCCCACCGGTTTCCTCAGCTGGGCAAGGGAAGCAGGGACTGCTACACCACAGGACCCCTCTCACCTCTGCTGCCACAGCCTCTGTGCCCTGAGAGGGGCCCCACTGAGCAGATCCTCCCACTGAGCTGACAGCTCTGGAAGGCAGATTGCAGCAGGATTGCATCAGGGGCAGTTTTAACACAGGCTGAGCTCCTTCTCCCAGCACCAGCCAGGCCCAGTGGGGACCAGCAGCCCCACATCCCCCAGCCCAGGCATGCTGAAGAGCAGGAACCCTGCCCGAGAACCTGGCAGCACCAAGCTGGCCACAGGCCAGTGCCACGGCCTCCTGGGTGCCATGGGCAGAGCCTCTCTCACAGATCTGACCCCTCCCCTTTGCACTGGAGATGCTGGTGGCCCCAGTATGAGACGTGGGCATACTGGAGCAGATCGAGCCAGGGGCAGTGATGATGATTGCAGGACAGTACAGAATGGAAGGCACAAGGGGAGGTCACCCCATCCTACCCCTCTACTCCACAAGAGTACTACTACACATCCTTGAGGATGTGTTCAGATATGTTTTGAGTATCTCCACAGGAGATTCTCTGATGATGATGATGGGACTGGACTTCCAACAAGGAGAGGCTCAGCTGGACGTGCCCAGCTTGGAGAAGGTATAAGGGGATGTCACCCAGGTAAGCCCTGGCAGGAGGGCACAGGGACACAGGCACAGGCTGAGCTGATCCTGCATGGCTCTGGGTGCACAGGAAGCAGCCCACATCCCTGAAGGCATAAGGACGAGGCAGTAGAGCAGGATCATGGCCAGGCAGCAGCTTGGAGCACACAGGGTCAGAGTCAGACAATGAAATGGGGCTGGAACTGAGATGGGAAGTTCCTCCAGCCCCAGCCCCACATGGGACAGCGATTGAACCAACCCAGCCTCCACATCTCCCTGGAGCTCTCCAGCCACTGAAGCCTCCAGCAGCTTTTCCCAGTCCCCCCCATCACTTCTTACTGGAAACACAAGCAAGGGAGAATTCCTGGGAAATTCTGAGGGACAAGAGCTGGTCCCGAGGGATGAAGGCAGGGAGGATGCTCTTCCTCCAGGTGTGGAATGGGCATGTGCTTCCCAACCATGTTGCCAGGCAGCTCAGTTCCCTCCCCACAGGAGATGGGGCTGGTCTTCCCCCAGGTCTACCCTGCCTTTCCCTCCCCCAGGTGTGGGCACTGCTTTCCTCTCCCTCTTCTCAGCCCTTTCCAAGGCAAATCCTGATACACCTCTTGCTGTTCCCACCCCAGACTGTACCTGCTCCCATGCCAGGCCCCCCTCAAGGGGCAGAAAACCTGGGGGGTCCCTTCCACTTTCAACAGGCAGTCCCAGAACTGGGAAGGAGCAGCCGAGCCATGAGCATGGCCACCAGAGCAGCTGTGCTCCCCCAACGACTTTAATTCTCACAGATACATGTGGGTTGAGCCCCTGGCACCTGGAGGCTGGGACAGAGCAACCACTGGCTTCACCAGCTTTGCCATTCCAGGAAGGTGGGAGCACCCAGCATGGGGACAGTCCAGTGATGGTGGAGAATGGGCGAGTTCAATGTAGAAGAAAATCAGGAGAGCCTGGAGCACCATCAAGCGTGGGGAGCCTGCTGCCACCGCCCCGGTGCTGTGTCCAGCTGTGTCAGCTCTGGGCTGGCATCACAGACAAAGGAGTCAGTACCCTTCATCTGCCCAGGTGATCTCGTAGTCGGGATACTCGGCCTTCAGCTTCTCTGTGGTCACAGCGTGGTCAGCTCGTCCAAAGCCCTGCACAGGAAAGAGGGTTCCCAAGGAGCACTGGTGGGTAACCACTTGCAGGGAAGCCTGGCAAGTCACCAAGGTAGCTCTGGCAGACCCCAGCAGCAGAGAGGAGGCAGAGCCTGTGCCAATCCCACTGTGGCAGCCCTGGCTGACTGCAGCTGCGGCTGGCGTAGCACCCAGGCAAGAGGACAGTGCCACCCTGAAACTGGGAAGACTGTGTGCACTGTGGCCTGGGGACCACCACCCTACCCTGGTCCCAGCTGGGCTCTGCACTCAGCACCCAGCACAGCCCTGGGCTGGGGTCAGCATCCACGGACCCACCACACCAGTGATGTCCCTGAGGGTGCCTCCAGTTACCCTTTCAAGGCCCCTACAACACCTGACACTCCTGCAGGAACACCCTCAGGACACAACAAGTGGGGACACGGTTCTTGTGCAGCCCAATTCCCTCTGGCAGCACCCAGAGGTGGGCACAGCCACTGCGGGACCCCCCGGGGGCTCTGTGTGTGTGGCAGCCCCAAAGGCAGGTGCTGGG